TATAGACCATCTTTGGCCCGTTTGAAAGCTGGGCCCAATCACAGCTAAGGTAAGTATCCTGAGCGCGACAAGACTTCACTGACTTGTCGTGGTTTTAAATGGGTCGTGAAAGATCAGGTGCTCATAATTGCACGTCCACGCGTATCCAAACATTTCTGCGACAAGCATTCTGTGATGTTATCACAGCCCAAGGTGCGGCTACGTGCTATCTGCGAGCAGCGGTGGCGACCAGAGAATGTGCCTGAGACGTGAGCGATTCAAGTATTGATATGAATTTCAAACTACAATCCCCGGCTTAACATACCGTCACGCCATTGTAACCAAGATGCAAGTTTGGATGGTTAGAGTGGAAGGTAACGCAGGCAATATTTACGCAAACGAAGCATTGTTACAACCCTCGTGCTACGTCAAGAAAAGGAAAAGGGTACTGTGGCAAAAGACGACAAATGAGCCGTCTTACATTTGGGCTCTGATGTGGGCTGAGAGCTTCAGTCCCCAGCTTTCAAAACCATTGCCACGTCCAAGCTCAAGCAACCACACCATCAACGATCTCTATAAGCTGGATAGAGCTGCCAACGCCGGAGACCGCGCTGTGATTTAACACGATTTGAATGCTAGGATATTTCGTCTTACTTCACAACAAAGATATAAATATGCATTAGTCATCAACCATCATCTGATAACATCGCCCAGCCGGCTAGCCGTAAATAAGCCAGGAATCTAGTCCGTTCTTGGTTTGACGATTGTTAGCAGCAAACTCGGGCTGATTTTGATGTTGTTCCGAAATACATAGCCTCGAAATTACAGGATTTAATATGATATGTAGAGCATGAATAAGCTCTATGCATATGCATCTGTAGCACGGACAGCTTGATAGGACTGCGCACTATAGGGTGGATTATCATATTGGTCTATATATATATATATATATATATATATATATATATATATATATATAATGAATGCTGCTTACCGTTTTCTTAAAATGTACTGACCGGAATGCAAGGATATTTTTTTTGGGGGGGGGCCAAACCCTTGGGGCCCACAATGTTGCGTGGCCCCCTTTGATGAAATCCTGGATCTGCCCCTGCATGCATGACGCCATAGATACGTAATTCATGTCCATTCCACCCCATTGGGTATGCAGCGCTCAAGGCGAAGAAGAATATCATCGTCTTCAAGAAACTTGGCTTCAAGAAAATGTTGTACATTCGAAGACATTGCAGCGAGCAAACTATCTCACGGTCTATGATAAATAGCTCATATTGCTCACTAAATACAACCTCACTTATAAGTAACAACGTATTTTTAAGCGGAAAAGGCTACTTTAGACAGTACAATCTCTTTTAAGTAAGCCTGCTCTTAAATACATCCTGTGTGATTGCGTCATTGAACATTTGTACGAGAGCACATACTTCTAGTCCTTCAATCTCCCGAGAAATAAGAGCACCGACTGGAAGTGTTCGCTGAGCTAAATATCGTTGTCTGCTCGTGTTTGGTACCTTTCCCGTGATGCTTCGTCGCGAGTTTAATATATATCCGTGAGACAAGGGCGTTTCTCCAAGTCTTTCCGTGAGTTTTGGGTGTTTATTTGAATTCATACCATCAGTTACAGCGCTACTCTATGTTATTGGATGAAAAATCTCAAGTCCTTATGAACCAGGAAAAAGGTATAGCTTCCTGTTTTATGCACCACAACACGTAATAGGCATTAAAATCCAACCGAAATGACTACTCCACATTTCAATGAGGCTTTGAACTGAAATGGCCATGTTGGTGACCATTCGGTACATTTCAGAGCCAAGACCCCTTTGAGATGTAAACCACTCTAGTTTCGGAGCTATACGTCGGCGAAGACGGATAGACCTTTTCCGCGAGAGTATTTCAAGAGCACCTTGGCATTCATGCTGTCATAATAACAGCAATAAAACCCTGTCAATTCCATAGCCCATGAGCAAGGTCATGAAAAACATAATTGGTAAAGTCGTTCATATTTGGCGTTCGTGAGCAAGATTTTCAGATAAAATGATCGTCAATTGGCTCCCAAATAGTATTGTGCAACGCACGGTGACGAAATCAAACAATGACGCATCGAAGCGCATAGTGCATAGCGCTAAATAAAAAAAATTGTGTTGTCAAGAGCATCCCTTTCCACTGTTTCACGTTAATTATAAGTCGCATTATTTCATCATATCTAATGCTTGTTTCAATATATTCCAGTGCGAAACACTCCCTTCAATCCGATCATAATTCGCGTCCGATTCCGAGAACTCATCTGACCATTTATGCTCTTTCTTACTTCATCTACCATTCTCGTGAACCCGCTTGTCCGGGGCAGGCTGCATGTGACTGCAACTATGCTTACGCGGTGCATGGAAGAAATAGAGCGAAATGGCTTAAGCCCCCAATCCTGGAGATCTCCCTCGCTCCTGTCGTTGAGAATCAATACGACGATATCCCGCCTTCATGGGTCAGGGTGATAACGATACTGCCTCGAGGCAAATGATGAGGGCGCTGGTGTGGATACGGTTCTCAGGGTGGTCAACTCGCCAAGCGTTGTGGGTAACACCGCCGTGCTCCTGATGCAGTGTTCTCGAAACGGTGCTGCTTATGTTGTACCTACTTTTCTCTCACCCGAAAAGGTGCTAGTCCACCTCGCCGCAGCTCTCGTCTCGGCTTCACCAAATGTGTCTAACACCCTAAGCCAATAGGTCTTGCGAAAACATTTACTTGCCGTCAACCTAGAAAGCTTCCGGATGATGGCGTGCGAACCATTGTCACCTAATTATGGACCCCGCTTTCCTTACAGATAAGGTGTCTGCTGCTCCTGATCCAGAGCGGTGTCAACACGTGCGAGCATTGGATCTACGCAAGCCCCGACACATCGAAGCCGCTCGTGTCTATTATAATTACGGTCAGTGGATAAAAAGCGTGCGGATTGGATATCCGCCTGTAAAAAATTTATATTTCACGGCAATAAAATCTTAGGAATTCTAAAAGTCTCTAGATGTCGTAAGACCACGTATCTATACTTCTCAAAAGTGGCTAGGACGAAGCAAAGCTAGAAAACATTCAATCTATGTGAAAATACTCTCTCCACATGACATTCGTCCCATCGGAACATGTACTATGCCTGTCTTCCTTACTGCGCTTTGATGCTGCTTTAAAAAGTGGCCTTCAGTACCTCACCAGCGGTCAGTTGCATCATAGTTTTGGGATCGCCAAGCAATCCCTACTTTGTGATTGGCTTAGCCGACCATCTGCTATGTCGTACTCGCTTCTCATTGGTTAACTATCACATTTCCGGAATCCGTGACCATGAACCGTTCCCTCTGAATGTTCCCTCAGTTTCCTCTTGACTGCCAACATTTATCTTTCTCTGACTAACGACGAAGACTGGCACGAGCAACGTCTACACTAGTCTAACCATTGCGCCAGCAATAATAAATTTGCTACACAGCTCTTCTGGAAGCCCTCCCTCCCGTAATTGCACGCCCCATTTCCATACCGACAGACCAGGCCTGACCTCAGCCGGCCTCATGCGCTCACTCCCTCCAACTCGACCTGACCCCGACTTCCCTCCTGCCGACCTCCGACAGTTGACCATGCCTGACTTGCACGTGGTCGACACCTTCGCGCCGGGGACGCAGCCAGCATGCGTCGCCTGACTGCCGCCATGCTGGCGCCTGAGCTGCACGAGCGCCTGTGGGGGTGCCGTTCCGTGCCGACGGCTGGCCCTGCTACCTGAAGCCGATGCTGGACTACGTCCGTCAACAGAGAGGGTTCAGCTACGGACACCTCGACGCCGTCGCTCGGTTGTTCGTCAAGGAGGCGCTTTCGTCCGCCGAAGATGTGCCGACCTGCTGGTGCGTGTGCTCTCCTGCCCTTATGAGAGAAAAGGCAGAGCTGGCCGAGGATGTTGTGTTAGCATGGCAACTCTTGGACCTAGGCTGGTCTGGCTCGATACAGCCTAGCCGTGTTTCAAATTACCTTTATATTGCTTAATTTGAACATCAGCATGTTACTGTTGGTGTTTAATATAATTGCCCAAAACCGTATACTTGCAAGGCATCGACGACATTTTATGTGTTAGCCCATGTCAGCCTGCAAATGTATTTTTCAATGAATAGCACGTTAATACCCACAAAGATATCATGAGACAAGAGAAAGCACACCTACACCATCGTTAACATCACGACAAGGTTTTGAAGTGCAATGATATTCCACTTTTTAGCTTGGTGCTGAACAGGAGATGTGCAATTACCGGCACCAACGCGGCCGGGCGATAAAAATGGCCGATGAATAAAGAATTTTTTTTTTGATGCTCAAACATTTAAACAGCCTGTGACGTCATCAGTCTCTTGACATGTGAACAACATCCGGAAATGGTTCCTACGTAATGCTGTTTGCCACATGAACGTTTCGAATCTGGTGGGTCTATCGAGAGATGTCCTGTAGAAAGCCCACCCCAGGAGACCGCGGTCGGCGAATGCCTCAGAGGTAAAACGTTAACACAATTTAATGGTTCGCGTATAATTTTCGCCATTTTCTTCAGCTATGTGTACTACACCACCCTGCCGACTGCATGTACTAAGCCCAGGGATATATGACGCAGCACTGACAGGTAATGCTTCCGCTGACTGTGTATGCCCGCCTGACACTCGTTCACAGCCCGCCGGGCGTCTTCGTGAGGCCGCTGGACAGCATACACCTGGACACCGTCAAGCGCTTCTGGCCGTACACCGCGGATCTTCCCGATATCGACGGTGTGATACGTGACGGCATGACGGTGGGCCTCAGCGCCGGCGTGTTCGTCGCCACTGATAATGACATGGCGTCGTCGTCTGTCGGCCAGCTCGTGTGCTGGGCGGTTCTCAACAGAAACGCGGTGCTTGGCTTCCTGCGCACGCTGGAGACGCACCGGCGGCGAGGCCTGGCGCGGCTGGCGATGGCCGAGCTCACCCGGCTCTGCCTGCAGCGCCGCCTGCCTTGCGTGGTCGCAACCGACGTGCCGTCCGTGATACACATGATGGAGCCGCTAGGCTACAATTCGGTCTGCGACGCGTTCTGGGTGGAAGTCCACCCAGCAGAAGTCGGTGCGACGCAGGAAACTGGGTACGACGAGGGCACCCCCAGACGGGCGGTCCGGTGAAAACATCATCGTGACGCGCATAAATGCCAGTCGATGCTTATCCATACAAACTTTGGCGCGTGTGTATATAAATATAAATATATATAAATATTAATATATATATATATATATAATAATATATATATATATATATATATATACCTGAATGACAGGGTGACTTCGAAATACTTTCTCAGACATACTTCTCTCCATTTTGCGGGCGTATTGCTCAGAAATTAGAAGGACCTAGGTCTAAAGATGAGTAGAATTGTGAGCAGCACCAAGAGGTCTTCAAGATGGCTACTCCAGTTTAAAAGCCCATATAAATTTGAAACGCACCTTTTAACACGCGCCTGGTTGGCCAACTGGATGCTCTTCGCTTAGGTGGGGGGTAAATTGAGCCCGCTAAGATCTTAGGAAGAAAGAAAGCTGGAGACACCAAATTCACAGGGTGCGTTAACCTGTACCTGAACTCACTTACGTCAAAGTTTGACGCTCCTAGGTCATGATCTTCGGGTAAAATAAGGTCGCAAATGTCAAATTCCAGGTTGGTGTCTTAAGTGTCCCAAGAACCTAGATAACTGTTATTATCAAAAGGTCACATGCTTATGTAAGGTCAGACACTTTGTTTGACCTTTTGAAGATCATGGTGACCAAAATCATACAAGACCGCTTTGAGTGTTGCATTTGGATAAGCTACAAAGATTACGCTAGGCAGTTTGTTCCTAAAATCAAAATGTTGACCGAGTTCACTCCAGGTCAGTTACATATTCCGACCTTAAACAACTCCATGGAAGGTGAATAATGCGGTCCCGGGTCATCAACAATTTCGAAATCAACACCAGGATCTACCTCATATTGGAAGCGCTTAAGTATTAAAGCAGGTTGGTTTGGACCTTGGTCTGACCTTCATACCTGAACCTACGTCAATTTAATTTATTCATCAGTTGTTGTGTTACCGAAGAAAGTATCCCAGAGTTGGCTTCGTCTAACACTTCGTTATTGGATCAGATTGAACGATTCCCTAGGAATTGCCTTCACTGAAACCCTGACCTGACTCTAACCTGCCATAGGTCAGCGAACTTACAATGTGAATCCAAATATTTATGTCAGACGATTCGCTATTCAGTTTTCTATAGTTATGCGAATTTTGGCGCAGTTGCGCTGTGCAGTTCAGAATCCATTCTGGAAAAACCTTTTGGGGGTTAATTTGACCCCCAGCCGAGCGCGTGTTAGGGGAGATTTGTCACGCGGTTCTGCGCCGGGCCCGCGTGAAGCGATGAACTGTTGTGGCCCAGGCGTTGAGAGCTTTTACAAATACAGGTGACGATCTGCATTCTAATTGGGAATGGAAGCGAGGCTGGAGGTGATTTTGCCAGACAAAAGAAGCCCGCTCGCGCTCGGCCTAGGTGGGCATGTTGTCCGAAGCCGATGACGCGCGCTTCGGCGCGCGCTGCATTACAAGCATGTACAAGCTAAACGGTAAGAATTTTTAAAGAAGATTTCCACACGAGCAAGGCCTGCTGGCAGAGGGTGTCTGGGTCACGTGAAAATTGCAAGTTTCGCAAAAATGAGCGCGTTGTGTTATCCGAAGCCGATGACCCCCGCTTCGGCGCGGCTCGCTCCTTAGTTCGCACCAAGACTATCTTGGTGTTGTCGCTGGCTTATATTATATATATATATTATATATTATATATATATATATATATATATATATATATATATATGTTGTGGTGTGTGTGTGTGTGTGTGTGTGTGTGTGTGTTGTGTGTGGTGTGTGTGTGTGTGTGTGGTGTGTGTGTGTGTGTGTGTGTGTGTGTGTGTGTGTGTGTGTGTTGTGTGTGTGTGTGTGTGTGTGTGTGTGTGTGTGTGTGTGTGTGTGTGTGTGTGTATGATGTCTGTCTGTATGTTCTGTCTGTATGTGTGTTTATCGTGTCTGTCTGTGTGTCTGTATGTTGTCTTCTGTCTGTGTGTCTGTCTGTGTGTATGTGTATGTTTATGTATCTCATGTGATGCCTGAACAAAAGTGGACAGTATCCGAGAAGTTTTTACGCGCGGCCGTCTCCTTACGGCGACTTCCAAGGCTCTGGCCCGCCAATCATGTTGAGAAATCGACACCCATGAACAGTTCTATGCGTTAAATAGCAGCGTTTGCTGCTATTTAAGCTACTGATTATCGTATCGGCAGCTTAAACATTGTTGCTGTGGGAGCACTATCAGATGTCAATATAAAATGGCGATTGGACGACGTTTTTTCTCAGAACAGTCCTTTGCAGACTGTGGTCAAACTCGTCCCGTAGTGGGGTTGCCAAATTGCCGTGACACGGAAAACTACTCACTGGCGCCGGCCAATACAGCCACTTCGTATTTTCGTTACCATCGCTATAGTGCGGCCATTTGCATCCGTGGTCCATCGGAAACACTTAACCGGTTTAGAATAAATTAAACCTTTCGTCATTTATCCGATAGCTCGCTACAATTAATATTTATGGCTTTTTATGGCTTATGGCTCCGCCCTGTTTTCTCGGAAACAAGAAAAGACGCAATAATAATTCCGATCACAAAGCAGGCCAGGACGCACATGGTCCAGTCAACTACCATCCCGTTGCGTTTACCAGCTTCCTGTGAAAGCTTTTGGAACGCAAGACTGACAAAGGCCTGCCTGAGTGCTGGATCATAACGAACTCATATCGGATCAGTGATGTGAATTTCGACGCAACCGTGCTACCTATGGTCATATCATTTGCCCGCAGGCGACGTGGCGCCCTGAGGATTACAATAGGCGCAATCAAACCAGCAGATGAAGAAGTTAACTTGTGTAAAAGGACAAGTTAGCTATTTCTAAAAGTTAAGTTGTCTCTTGAACGCTTTGGGACATCAATCCGCACGTTTAGAATGTACTCTGACCATGCAATTTCATCTGCACGATTTTGGGATTTATAGTAGGAATGGATTGACATTTGCTGTACTGCGAACTGTTGCTGGGGTGTGGCGATGGATCTGGAAAAGTAATCAATTTTCCATGTTTGCTGTAGCTGTATTTTGAAGCTGTCTAGAAGGGATTCTCAACAACCATAATGGCGAAAATACGCCCCAGTCGGTGCTTCGGGCAGTACAAATGCATTTTGAAGGACTTTCGGAAGCATCATTTCCAGGTGGTCGCTCGTGCGCGTCCGGCGCCTGCCGCTGGGTTTTGCAGCGGTCAGCGCCGTTCCGTGGGAGAGAAACTGCATCGGCTAGCGGTGCTCTTGCTTTAATGGTTGTGAGTGCGCGGACTCAAACATATCTATGAAGTGGGTTTCACTAGTCGGTTTTGACAAAAGGTGTACGTTCTCAAGCAAGCGTGGGTTGCCTTTTTCATTTTCATCTCTTCCCAATGTCGTTTACACCCAGCGGCTCTTTTCGAAGCGTACATTTGCTTTGAGATGTTATGTTATCGCGCCGTTGGCCAGCGAACCGTGCCAGCCGTTACCGCGAATGATCACATCACACGAATTGGTCACATCAATGTATCGTGGTTCAGATGAATGCACACTAGCTCCGCCTGTCACGCGGTATCTAGGTGTGCTGGCCCGAGAGAGTTGGTTTGGTGTTCACCGCAGAGCAGTCCCGGCAGAGGACAGCGGGAAGGGAAATATAAGTTCACCGTACCTGTTTATTACACACATTACTGGACCGAACATCATGGATCTGCTTTAACCAAAAGAGCAGCACGAGCGGAGATTTCATGTGAACCAATAAACAGGGTACTGATATCGAGTGACACACAAAAGAATCCCCCGTAAAGGCTACAGAGTCCCATCCTCTTTGGCTCGTCCCCAAGCACCTACTCCCGAGAGACCGCGGTGCATAGTGCCCAGAGAAACCATTCATCACGTCCCGCATTACGCTTGTAGCCCTTGAGTGTGACATTGACTGCCTCGCACATGCGCAGCACTCGGCTACGACACTCATTCTGCCCGGTGCGGCTATCTCCGCCACCTAGCGGCCGGCCTCGGCCCCAGTGCCGGTGTTGCCGACAGCCCGGGTGACGGCCGCCTGGCGGCAGATCTCCGAACCAACCACCCGAGATGTCGGGTGCGACCGGGTCCGCGCCATACACTAGACGGGGCCCGCACGTATACATGTATAATTATCACAAGGTCCGTAGCGACTAATCCCCCTCATCCCGGTACAGCTTCCAACGTCCCTTTAGAG